AGACTTCTCTTGGGATCAGAGCTCAGGCATTCCTGCTGGTCCCTTAGAACAGCTGAATGTTTTGCCACTGACTTTCTAGGGGAAAAGAATCAGGTTTCTCTCACTGAGGTTACTGATAGGGGCCCATTTTCACCACAGGGGCTGTCCCAGCCCTGCACTCAGACCCTCTGGCTGCAGGGGCTGTGGGCAGCTCTGCCCAGCTGCTGTGAGGGCATCCTAGAGCAGATGGGTGCCCTCTTGGACTGAAAAAACTGGTTGTCTTGCCCCCCAGCTCTGGTAGTGCCTGCAGAGGAAGGAATTGGAGCCACCATAGCCTTATGTGCTCAAGAGGAAAGCATTTTCCAAATTCCTACCACTAAAGAGACCTATTGCCTGTCCCTTTTCAGCATTTTTGAAGCTCTAACAGCTTAATGTTCTCATGATTTACATTAGCATCTAATCCTTGCATAATCTCACTAATCCCTTGGCCCCAAGATATCCATTGGCAGTGAGTTCCATGGGTTAACTGGTTGCTGTATTCATTTGGTGGAGCAAATTTAAATCATTTTTCATTTCTGTTGCAATTAGCCTCCTTAACCTGGCCAAGGATGCGAATGGGGCAACATCTCCCAAGGAGTGGACTTTGATATTTTAAGGCCTTCCAAGATTATTCTTGTGGCTGAGAGGCTCCAATGCATCCTATTTTGTGTTGGGCTTGGATCCCTGGAGAAAGTACAATGATGTCAATGGGAGACATGCTGAAATATTTTATTCTGCCAGAAAGAAAACAAAAATAAACACTGAAACAGCGATACAAAAAAAAATTTTGTAGGGGTTGTGCTGAGTTGCCTCCTTCCCTCCATCACCCTGTGTGTCCTGGGCATATGGTTCCTCCCCAGCCCAGAGCCCTGTCATATCCATACACAGTAGGGAGAATTAAAGAGGAAACTGGCAGCCTTAACATTTAATTTCCTTCCTCTTTCTGGGCTGGTCAGATCCTTTGCATTATTGTAACTATTTTTTTTATCATGCCTATAAATAGATGTGCTCTCATGTGTCCTGTGAAGCAGAGTCAGGCCAAAAAAGTCATTCATTCTGCATAATCAATACATGTAGTGGTTACTGGCTTAGATGAGAACTTGTACTGTTAGTTCTGTAGCTGGGAAAAAAAATGTTGACTAATAAAGATTAAGGGCTTTTTTTTCTTTTTATGAAATGCTAATGATGAAGACATGTTTGATATACTGTGAAATACATTTCTCTAATATGAAGTTTCTGCTTTTTGTTGGGAAAGAGATTTAGTCCCTGGAGGATTTTAGAATTTGTAAATATAAAATTATCTGCTTCAGTGTTTTTTAAAAAAAGGTTGGCAGAAAGCCAGCTTACTTACATTACTGTAATAGATTTGCTGACCTCTGACATCTGCTGCAGAGAAGTACATTGAATTTTTCATAATATCAGATGATGCAGATCTAAAAACTCGGTACACTGCACCATTATTTAATTCAGGACTTACTAAAGGAAAATCTTTTTTTAATAGCAGTTTATACGTGATTAAACTTAATATTGCCGATTGTAATAAATCAGGATTAGTATAGTACTGATTTGTTAATCTAACTTGTATTGATTTTAAGTTGTCTTTATTTAAAAAAAAAAAGAAAAAGAAAAAAAGGAAAAAGACTGGCTTTTCACAGTGACTGAATTTAATAAGAAGCCCTGTGATAGCAAAGACTCCCCTACTGTTTCTGCTCTTGGCTGGAAAATGTTATTCTTGTATTATTCCAGGAAAAAAAAAAAACCTCATGCTGCTAAAAATCTGCTGCCTGTGGAAAGATTTTTTTAATACACTAGTGCTTACATATTCTATTTATGTTAATTGACTTATAAATAATACATTTTATTAATGTTAATATTGGAATCTTGATCATGATAAAGACCCTTTTATTTGGTCTTCTCGCAGGCTTTACAAGTAAATATTCTTTAGACCACAAAATATTCCCCCTCTTTTCCTTTTTTATGAATACTTTTATACTTCCCCCCCTGTCGGGAAGTACAGCCACAGTTCAAAGCGACTGAAAACATAATTGTTGTTTCCAACACGCGATACATTTGAGGTATCTGGATCCAGTTTTTTGGACGTTGTCTTTACATCTCCTTGCGCAAAGATTGATTAAATCTTACCTGCACTGCAAATATTTGACCAAGAAAAAAATATCTTGTGCTGGTTTCAGACATGTCACATTCTGCTAAACTATTTGGCTAACAGCAGATCGCATTCTTCCGGTGTTGGGCAATATTGACCTTAAATTGGCTAAGCCGGCTGCTTTCATGGCATGTGAGCCGGCTGCTTACATGTTGAGAGAGCTGTATTAGCTTTATTACTCCTGCGCTATAAAAACTTCTAATAATCAAATGATAAGATCATATCCTGTGGGTAATTGTGTTGTACCATGACAGGATAACTGAAAAAACATTCAGTGAAAATTGCAACCGACGGAAATCTCTACGTGAAGAGGCAATTGCTGCTGTTGCCGGGCTCGGTGCTGCTCCCTGGGGTCTCACAGCCCGCGTTCCTGCCCGGCTCCTCGCCAGCCGCCCCCCAAAGCCACCTCGGCCGGCACTCCTTTGAAACAAGGAGGGGAAAATCCTAGAACAAGCCATCCTTGTGTTTTGACTCAGTTTTACCTTAGTCATGCCGCCTCCCCGATACACGAAACATTTAATTCCAGATTTCCTGCCACTGGCTCCAGGCCACTGACCGGCTATGTGAAATGTATTTTTACTGCTGTCGGCCTGCCAACTGCTGAGCTCAGTGAAAAATAACTAAAATGAAAACCTTGTACTCCCACATGAACCCTTAAGATCAGAAAAGGAAATTTAAGCCACGGTTACTAATTAGCACCCAAGCTAATGAGTTCTGGTGAGGTGCAGAGGCAGGAGGAGGAGGAGGAGTTTGGGTCCCGCGTTACCCTACAAGGCTCAGCGGAGAGCACGCGAGCAGTGATTAATCATGTTGGCCCGGGCCTTGCTCCTGGCCCGGCCATAGCCACTGGGTTAATCCCTCGGCATCTTCCAGGGAAAGGCTCGTTCCTGGGGCTGGGAGCATCTCTGTCCCCCATGAGGCACCGGACAGCGGCTGAAACCTTTATGGATGGAATATGTAGATTTTTAATGGGCGGTGCGTTCCCATGGAAACAAAACAAAGTCAAACACTCCCCTCGCAGTGCTAACAATTACTGTAATAAAATGTGTTTTTATTAAAAGCGACTTTAAATACTTAACACATGGCAGAGCAGCCTCGGCACTGCCCTGTGTGAAACCCAACCTTGCCTGTAAGTGAAGTCCAAAGTGCTTTGTGCAGCGCGGGGAGGAATTTGGTGTTTTCACCAATATTTGTGCTTTGCAAATGAAATGTAGCAGCCTCAAGTATGAACAGGATTATTTTTTTCTCCTTCTGCTTAGTTATGCTTTTTTTATATAAACATTACCTGTAATATTACAGTGGGAAGCAGGTATTTGGCAACTACGCATTATTTTGCTAAGTTTGCATAGAGGGAGCAGTTTCCAGTTTTAGCAGCTGTAACATGTTTAAACTCAGTTTGTAATGGGATCTGAAGATGAATATTCCCTGTGGGCTCTGCTTAGCTTCATTACTGGAGCCCTGCCAAATTCAGGGCTAGAAAGTATTATTCACGCCTCTTTGCACATACCATGTCAGAGCATGCTCAGTTAATGAATTTTGTTTCTAATATAGCATAAATTAGGTTTATATTTTAACATAATTTATGTTGTATTTTATTAAAAAGTAAAATATTATGATCACGAGCAATCTAATTCTGCTCTCTTAAGCCCAAACTGTGTTTGAACATCTAAGTATGTAAATCAAAATTGCATGCTTAGAAACTGATTCTAGGATAACAAACGAATATCTGAACCTAAGAGGTTTCTGCCTTGGAGTCTTAGATTAAAGATAATTAAGGATTCCTGGTATTTGAGTAGATCTATGTTATTTATAAGCAAAGTACATTTTCTTCACAGAGTCAACTTGTCTCTTTTTTTAACAGATTATGTTTGCTGTATTAATGTTCATATTTTTAAAGTCTGAGTCTTATATTAATCCCATAGTGAGTCATTAATCATACTAAAATGCATTATAAAAACTTTAATCACTGAAGTTGAAACTGAGATTGTAATGCAATCCATCCCTTTTAATTATATCAGTTATTTTTCCTTTCAGATCAAGAATTGCAAAGGGAAAACAGAGAGATTAAAACTCGGTGTGTTTGATGCTTTCAGGGGAGGATATTTTTTGTTTGTGTTTTTTCCTTGTGTTTTTAAAGCAATTTTGTGCACTTTGTGGCAGACAGCTCCACAGTGAAGAATTCCTTCATATTTAACTCTTTTCCACTTCTTCCTTAAGAAAGGCTCTGGTGACTGTCACTGCATGGGTGCCTTGCACGGACATGGCTGGGCTGGCACTGGTGACGGCCGGGCGGGTGCTGTGCCCACCTCACAGGGTTTCTGCAGCCCAGCTCTCCTGGCCCCTGCCACGTTCCTGGCACTCGCCCTTGCAGTCAGGGGAACCAGCAGCCTGGAAATTGTGTAGCTGTTACCAAGTTGGCTATGGCTTTGTAGGTGTTTTCCTGGGGCTTGCTGCATGCTGTTAAAGTTGGGGAGGGAAAATAAAAATAAGCAGTGGAATTTTTTTTTTTTTAAATCAGTCTAAAACATAATGGCTGATGTTCTCATCTGGTACAAACTGGTGTAGCCACACAAACCACTGTGAAGTTACTGACAACTAATCCACACGAACTCTTAACTCTACTGAATTTATTCCACATTATAATCTTGCCAAATAAATTGATTTCTTATACTTGGATTTATAGATGTAGAGTTTAAACTGTTGCTTTTATGGCATGGAAGAAAATGGATTTATTAAGTAAACTGCTCACAGCAGATACTTTTTTTTTCTTTGCTAGAACAGCAAAACCTGATCAATTATTTGTTCCTTAATCCCCTAGATTAATCCTGCCATATGAAAGATTTATTAAAGGAGAGGAAGATAAGCCACTGCCTCCAGTGAAACCTCGAAAACAGGATAACAGTTCCCAGGAGAGTGAAGCAAAAACAAAAGTGTCTGCAACAAAACGCATCAAAAATGAAAACCAAAAGAGCAAGAAGGAAAAAGATAATTCACAGAAACCCCAAGATGCATCTGAGGTCTGTTGCTTCCCTGCTTTTCAGTTTTTCAATTAAAAATGCACAGCTTTAATCACATGAAATCCAGTGATAAAATATATAATTTAAACTGGAGAATTCCAACCAGTTGGCCTTTTAGTTTGCTCAGCAATGGAAATTCAGCTGTTGTGATACTATCTGTGCTGGGATTTTGCTGGGCTGTGAATGGCAGCCAATTTGCTCCATATTGCACAGTGGGGATGGCAGAGGACCAGGCTCTGGATCTGACTAGTACCAGTTCTGCTCATTGTATTATACAGTGGTCACCATTAACAGATCAGCAGCTGCCAAAGGGAAACCACACAACTACCACAGTTATTTCCTAATCTAAGTATAGGGTGCAGGAACCTCTAATATTGTTGATAATACTGTGGTAACTGTTGGACACAGCTGATTTTTATAATCATAACCTCTGGATCAGCCCTTCTGTGCTCACAGATGTATGCATGACTGTGAGAAAACATACTGCTCCCTAGGATTTTTGTTATATTATACTAAGTTTTTTTTTTTAACTGAAAGGTCACATTTTGAGGGAACCACCTTCCAAGCCATGAGATCAACTTCCCTCTCCCAAGCAGTAGATGGCTTTCAGCTGAGGTTCCTATTCAGACACAATAGGTTACTGTGGTGTCACTCTGCTTCACATGGGCATGCCCCAGTTTTCCACATACAGCCACGTTACTTGCAGGCATAGGACAGCCCTGTAGAAGAGAGTTTGTGTTCACAGCTCAGGGTAAGATTGATGGTAGAACTCGTATTTGTCTGCAAATAAGAGTAAATTTCAGGTGTTGTTAAGTGATGCAAAATCAATGGGGTTTTTGCTCCAGTGTTATTTAAGCACCTTCCTTTGCACATCTGCCCACTCTCCTGTGCCCCGCTCACACCGCATGTGAAGGAGGTGGTGAAGCTCCTCACACACAACCCCTGCAAAACATGTTGCTTTTCCTGTCTCAGTCTGCCAGATCACAGCAGCCTTCAAGGCGCTGCAGTGAAAGTAAGTATTTAAAGAATGTCGAAACACATGATGTGCCCGGCAGACTATGGCTGCTCCTTTGACTTCATTGCGTCTGGCAGGTACAGAAGTCCTGGTTCTAAACTTGTTTGGAAATTGTATTGAGTCAGCTATCAACAATCCTCCTCTTCATTGTTTTAAAAAAACAATGCAGATGCCTCTGAGACTCCATGTACCCAGTTTTGAGAACAGAAAATTTGGGGTTTCATGTCCCGCTACCTCTTTAAGTTTACAAGGACAATTCAATCTCCCATCCAAAGAAGAATTTGTGTTTTAAATAACAGTACCATTAATATCTAATTTAAGAGCAATCCCCAGAAAGACTTTTTTCTTATCTGTAATTTAAAGTAGGGAGAGCCCTGTTTGGGTAAAATTAAAGAAAAAAACAAAAACACATCAAGAGGAGAGTGTGCACAAACGTGCTTCAGTCACTGGAAGGTTGCAAGACAAGTTGCCCAAAGCAAGGAGAAGTGAAGTGAAAGCTTCTGCTCCCTTCCCTTGTCATTCCTTCGTCCCTGATTATTTACTGAGGGTCTTGGATCAGGAAGACACATTACACACTATCAGTACCACTGCTGCTATGCCCAGCATAACAAGTCAGCAACAGAGCAACAGCCTTCACTTTGAATTTCCTTGCTTTTGTTGTTCCCTATCTCAAACTTCCTGCTGTTTAAACTGAAGTTATTTTTGTGTGGATTGCAGGAAGAGTTCCTAAGCTGCGCTTATCGGAAATGTAGGGAGCTTAGATGAGACAATAAAAATGTACAATTATGGCAGTTCCCTATTGTAAAATGGCATCTTTTATAGCAGAATTAATGTCTCCTCCCTGACTGGGGTGGAAGACATGTCCTGCCCCTATTTGATCAGGGCAGGCTATTAAGTATCTTGATCTCCATGTCGGTCACCATACAGGTCAGTGATCACACAAAGCCCCAGCAGTGAAGGGGCTGCAGGGTGGATGTTTCACCCCTGGGTGGGTATAGGGCTCCAGAACTCATCTGTGCTTTGCCATATGGAAGGCTCCATGCCCAGGATGTGGCGCTTAACAGGGGTAGCAGGCTGGAGATGTTCAGCTCCTTTGGGTGGAGCAAAATCCAGGTGTGCTGGAGCCAGGCAGAAGGTTGCTTGTCTCTTGCACTGGAGCCATGCCTTGGCAGTGGAACCCCATTCCTGGACCCTCATCTGGGCACAGCACTGATGGGGTATTGCTCTGAGGGAGAGCCCTATAGCCACCACATAAATGTGTAGGCATGTCCCCAACCAAGCCACCGCTTAAGCCATTTCTGCATGTGGCCTGGAAACTGAGCTGGAAAAGCATAATCCAGTTACAGATGTGTGGTGGTCTCAATTGCATGTTCAACTCATTCACCATTAGAAGTATGCAGGGAGAGAATATAACTTTAATTTATTAGGATTGCATTTGCCTTTGTGCTCTTCACTGTTTTCCTGCCATCACAATGACATTGTCAGTGTAACAAGACACCAGACAAAATGCTATTAGCCTTAGACTGCACATTTCCTCACAATAGCTGAAACTTCAATCAAAGTATTGCTTAACAGAAACAAAGAGCAGAATGTACAGTTATTAAGTATGATTCTCTTTTTTTTTTTCTCCTCCTTGCTTTGCTCATCTGTCTGGTATTTGCCTGTAATTTTATAAGCTCAAGAGACTAGCAATGGTACTTTGTAAAGGACCTAATGATGGTATTTGGCTGCAAAAGGCAGCTACGAGTTTAAAAAGAAGAAGTTAGGATGACTAACAGACACTGTAACTAATAGGCCAACCAAACAGGAATATTTAAAAGCAGCTGTGAAGAAATAAATCTCTGAGAGGGTTAGATTCGTTAGGACCGTCTCCAATTCCCTGCTCCTGCGACAGACCATAAAGCAGCATTTAGATGATAACTTTCTCGGTGCGTCTTATCTTTACAATGAAGGAAGAAAGAAAACAATAATAATAAAGGAGTCGCACAATGCTGCTGTTTTATGACTGTCTTCTACCATGACATGTCAGAGGAGAGTGACAGCAGTTTTGAAAAGGGCTGTCAGTCAGCTGGATCGCAGATGGGATGCTCTGGTGACCTCTGCGGGTCATAGTTCAGGCGGCTACATAATGGGATGAATAGTGTGAATTGTGCACACACGCTGTATTAATGGGGGAGCAGAACGAGCCACGGTCCCATTGACGAGAACGTATAAAAGCCATGTTTGTAATAGCAGGCACACACACACTTACTGAATGTTGACAACTTCATTTTAATCCGTTAATAAAAAAATGTGTGTCCTAGTTAAGCTGTGGCAGTGATTTGCTGCCTACAATAGGGATTTCTAGTATGCCATTTCTATCATTTTCACACTTTAATGCAGAACTGGGTGTGAATGATCTCCTGTGTGATCACTGAATTTTAAGATAGCTATGAAGGAGAGACTTTAGGGAAGGAAAAGCGTAGGAATAGTGCGGTTTTCTTGGGTGAAGTTGGCTGGTAGGAGAAATTTCTATAGCCTTATTGTCTGTGTCATGAAATCTGCTCTTCTGCATTTGCCTAATTAATTTTAAAAGAGTGTATAACCTCAGCATTTAGCTATCTGATCAAGCCACCAGTGCCTCTCATCAGGTTACAACCATCTGCTGTTTGGAAATGCTTTATTGTAACTCTGACAGGGATGGTGTATTTTTTAATATTTCCTGGAGATACTTCTCTTTCTTTGAGTCCAGTACCTGATGTTAGAGTCTTCACATGCCAGCAAGGTGGTTGGCAAGTCCTTCTCTAAAAGTAGCCAGCAGCGTACTGTGTATAACCTTACAAACAGGCTGCCAGAACATACTGCATTCTTACTATTGTCTGTTGAATCATTTCATTAGGTTTCATCAGAACAAGAGAAGGATCAAGAATCAGCAGACCAGAAGAACTTCCCTGAACATCCTACAGTGGGAGAGGTGAAACAACCTGTGCAAGGCCCTCCATCTCTTTTACCAGAGACAGCTCGAACACTGCCTCTGGAGAAGACAGACATGACAGAAAACAGCACCAACAGTGAGAAAGCCAAGGAGGAGGTTCAGCACTCATCCTCTTTCTCAAGTGTTTCTGTGCCTGCAGAAGAAGACACTGTGCTGGATTCCACTGTCACAAAACGATTACACCCCTCAGCAGATGCCCTGGAAGACACAAAGCCTGAACAAAAACTACACAAAGCTTTTACTGACAGCCTGGAAAGTGAACCTCCAGAAATGCCCTTCACAGCTTTCCCAGTCCATCTGCCCACTCAGAGCGACATGGAAGATGAGAAACTGCCAGGGATGGCCGATTACATCGCAAACTGCACAGTGAAAGTGGACCAGCTGGGAAATGAAGATATCCACAATGCACTAAAGCAAACACCCAAAGTCCTGGTGGTGCAGAACTTCGACATGTTTAAGGAAAAGGAGCTGCCTGGGTCCATGAACGATGACTCCACCTTCAGTTACACACCACTGCTGTACTCTAAAGGTAATCCAGGCATCATGTCACCCCTGGCAAAGAAGAAGCTGCTGTCACAGGTCAGCGGGGCCACGCTCTCTTGTAACTATCCTTATGGTTCTCCTCCACCTTTGATCAGCAAAAAGAAACTCAGCAGCAGAGATGAACTGTCCTCAGGTGTATCGCAAGGTCCCCATGCCCCTAATTCTGATCCTGTAGCAATTAATAGGCCCTCAGTCATACAACATGTACAGAGTTTTAAAACCAAGGAAGAAAGGAAGTCAATTAATAATGTTTTTAAACATGACATGCTAAGTAAACCGGATCCTCAGCGCTGTGATTTTTCAAAACATCACCTCAGTTCTCTTGCCGAGTCATACCTACCGAAGTTGGATATCCAGGACTGCAAAGATAAAATGAGTGAGAAAAGGGCACTGCAGCACTCCCATGTGCCCACTTTCTTGGCAGATTTCTATTCATCACCTCATCTGCACAGCCTTTATAGGCACACAGAACACCACCTTAATAATGAACAGACATCAAAGTACCTCCCCCGGGACATGTTCAGAGAGTCTGAAAATATTTCTACTTTTACTCAACACAAACACCAAGAAAAACTAAATTTAAATTATCGGTCGTCTTTGCATCAGCAAGAAAAAAAGGCAACAGTGGAGGCCTCTTCAGATGATCAGCCAACAGATTTGAGTCTTCCAAAGAGCATACACAAACAGACTGCAAAGGTTCCAGGCTCCAGTCTCCCTCACTCATCCACAGCCCAACAAGAATGCAAAGGGATCTCCCCATTCCAGGCTGGAGGCAGCCAGACGGTGAGCCTAGATTGTAACCCCAAAGCTTGCCGTGTGTCCCCTATGGCATTGACAGCCCCAAAAAAACACAGTGAGTTGCTCCACAGGTCTGGGAAGCAGCAGGCCCAGAGGCTGGAGAACCTGAGGAAGATGGAGGGGATGGTGCATCCTATCATCAGCCGCAGAACGAGCCCTCAAAACGTGGGGGCTGCCCGGCCTCTGAAACGGAGCCTGGAGGATTTGGACAAAGTTATTTCTGAAAAAAAAATCCGAGCTGTCTCTCCTATTCACTTACCAAAGGAGACCCCGGCGAAAGACAAGGTTCCTGACCAAGAGGGGGAAGGTAGCAAGTCAGTGCATGGCCTCCATTCTGGCAGCATGCTGGAAAGCCACAAATTTCCCCTGTCAGCCCCCATCTTCCCAGGCTTGTATCCGGGAAGCCTGTGCACGGGGCTGAACAATCGCCTCCCACCCGGGTATTCTCATCCCCTGCAGTACTTGAAAAATCAGACTGTGCTATCCCCACTAATGCAGCCTTTGGCTCTTCACTCCTTCATGGTGCAGAGACAATTCCTCACGTCCCCTGCAAACTCCCAGCAACTGTACAGACACTTAGCTGCAGCAACACCTGTAGGAAGTTCCTACGGTGACCTTTTGCATAACAGCATTTATCCTTTAGCTGCTATAAACCCTCAAGCTGCATTCCCACCTTCCCAGCTGTCCTCTGTACATCCCAGCACAAAACTGTAAACCTCCTTCACTCACAAAGAAAGGTCTGAGGAGAAAGTTCAGTTAGCCACATTCCTCCCCCTGTGACGATGTCTTGCAGATTTAGCAATCTGTATTTTTGTCAACCAGGATGCAGTTGTATCCTGCCTAGAGGAGCGTCTTGGAGTTGGATGGAGACAGGACTGCTTCTTTAATTCTGGCTCCCACATCAGCCCCTCATCCCTTATCCCTGCCCTTGCAAAAAAGAAAACCAAGCCAAAAAAAAAAAAAAAAAGCCAACAAAACAAAAAAAAACAAACCACACAAAAAAAAGAGAGAGAAACAAAAACACAGAAAAAAAGGAATTTTTTTGGATTTTGCGTATGTGTTTTCTGAAAGGACTTGAACATGGTAAGAGCAGATGTTCAAAGGGAGCCGTGGAAACGCAGGCCCAGTCCTGAGCTCACTAAAGCCCCAGTGAGGGCTGTGTTTGCCTTTCACTGAGCCAAGGACCAGAGGCTGTGCATTGTTGCAGATGAGTCAAGGACTTCAGATGAACCTGGAAAGGAGAAGTGGGCCGAGAATCTGTACAATCAGTGGATGTGCTTTTTTGGGTAACTTTTCCTGACTTTTAAAGATTCAATCAATGCAATGTATAGTAAAACGGCAATAGATTTTTTCATTTTAACACTATTAGAACAGAATGGTAAACACTGTTTAATTTGACTGTACATATCCACTTCATAAACTACCAGTGTCACATTTGGTCACAATAATTTATATAGTTTCGTTTGTCCAGTATATTCTGTGCTCTTTATGTTTGTTTTTCTGTTTTGGGTTCTTATTTTTTTTTTAAATTAAACAGTATCATTTTATCTGCAACTTTTTTAAAGGCTGTGGCTGTCCTAATTTTTTTTTATTACGTGTTTATAATTTTTCCAGTTTCTTTATACTTTTGAGCAGCATTTTTGTTTCGTTTTTGTCGTAACGTTTACTGTTTACAAACTGAAGCAACTGGTTCAGATTAATCTTAATGGTTATAAACATACTGTAGGTGATGTTATGGTGCAAGGATGCGAACAAGGTTCCTTTCCCCACGGCCCACCCCTTTGAGGTGCTGAGCATCTCTCACCCTCCTCCTGTTGTTTCGATGGCTCCTGGGCTGCTTCTCCCCTCCCACCGAGCTTTGCTTTCCTGTATCGTGGTCTGTGAATTTGTCGAGCGTTGTACTTAATCTTACCTAGGCTGTGAAACCCTCCTGCCTACCAGAGAAATGGTCTAGAAAACAAAATCTCCCTGGCTCAAGCTGCTGAATGACAAAGGAGTGCAGAAAACAGATCTGTGGTTTGTGTGAATGTTGAGAATTTCAGAAGTTGTGAGAGGAGCCAGTGTGGGTCTTAATCAGAGGCTTACAGGTTGTTTCTGTGCCTCCCAATGGGTAAGGGGATTCTGTGCAGTGGTTGGGATGGTCCTTCCACGCTCCCACGGGGATCTCGGCCTCTCCCTGCACATCCTTTTGCAGGGGGAAAGCCCAGGCATGGAGAGGCTGGATTTTCCTGATGAAAGAGCTTCCCTGTGGATGTATACTCACTTTGCAGGACATCACCACTACGTAGCTGAGCACAGACATTGATAAAGCAAAGTGTCACTTGGAGGCTTTATACAGTGTGAAAATTGGTTGTGATTCAAACCATCTCAGTTACTGTTCAAAGACAGTGTACTTGATATGAAAAGATAAAACAAACTACTAAGAAACACTTTGCATGCTAGGCATGTCATTAAATTTTCCCGTGATATGAAGCCAAATACAATATATAATGTATCATACTTAATATCCAAAGGTGGAAACCAGAATAATATACTCGTCTACTGTTACAAATCCAGCTTCTTCAATTAAATACTTTATATTCCTGTGGTAAAACTATATTTAATTGATTGATAAACAGACTAGTAGAACTTGGAACATTGATGTGCCAGTGCAGGGTATCCTGCTGCTCCACAAGTCATACAGGAAACAGAACCGCAGGCTCATCCAGGCAGAGGTCGCAGTGTGGAGGACATCTCTAGTAAAGTTGCACTAGATCTGAATCACGTAAGAGTCAGGGGTTTGGGGATGGGGGGGAGGAGGGCGGGGGAAAAGGGGGTAGAGAATATAAAAACCTACAGCAAACACGAACAGAAGCTTGTTGTGTGTTTGGCAAAGCAAATGCTTCTCCTTGTTTTGGTTAAGTTGTGTGTTCTGGAGTTGTGCATTTGTTTACGCAAAGTGTCCGACGTCCCTTTTGGTTATGTCCTGTTGGAGTTTGCTGGTAGGCTTTTTGGAGCCCTGCTGAGGCAGCACAGGGCTGGGGGACAGGGAGTGGGGAAGAAGGCTCCCCGCTTGTCCCTTGAGGAGACTGGCCACTGCTGGCTGGGGAGGCTCATACTGGGCAAAACATCAGGGCTAAGGAAAAGAAATGGTGGCATAAACCCCCAACAGAAGCAGTGCATTATTTGTTTAAGAACTCTTTTAACAGAAATCTTGGAAATCTTTCAACAGACTATTGAATTCTTCATTGGCTGAAAAGTCTTTTTTTTCCCCTCAATGTCTTAAATGGGGCTTTGTTTGCATTGTTTGAGTTCAAGGGGCCTTATTATTGAATGAAATTGCACAAGCCTTTCTTTGTGCAATCAGACCATTGTTATTGGTAGGTTTGTAAAGGAAACTGCAGAATCTAATTGGCAATAGAGTCATAAATCTATTTACTAGGAGCCAGTTCCAAGAAATGTTGCAATTCAAACGCACGATGTCCAGGATGCATTAGGGATGCTAAAGGTTGTGAGATCCAAAGGAAGAGGCCCAGCAGCAAACGGCTCGTGTGTAGCTTCTGGCCACACTGAGCCAGGCTTCGTGAAGCACATGGGAAGTAGGGCCTGATTCCCAGTGTGATTGTGCCTCTGGCCAGGCGGGGTGGGAGCAGGGCAGCAGTTTGTGGCAGGTCTTTTGTGGCTGTGAGCTGGCCTGGTGTGAAGAGCTTGCCCAGTGGGTTCAAGCCTGGGAAGCAGTTTGTCCTAGCAGCAGAGGAGCTGGCTTGGCAGCAGCTGGAGCTCAAGCAGGGCACAAGTGCTGTGCTGCCTCTGCCATCAGCTCTGCCCCATTTGGGGAGATGTGGGGCTGCCGCCTCCAGAGACCAGCACGGGGGTCCCTCGCGCCCGCCAACTGCTCGCTTCCTTTGTGGTGATCAGTGAGGTCACAGCTGGGCCAGTTTTGCCATTGTGCTGATTTTGATGAGCAGTGGGACTTCCTGCACTGGTGTGAGGCGGGTGGCATTGGCAGTGCTGCCATGAGTGCTGTTTGCTGTACATGTGGTTGATATTTTGCTCGTTCTCTTCCTCTTCCTCCCCTCTCCCCCCAGTCCCGCAGTTTTAAATATGTTCTAATAACGGCAGCATAATCTACTAGCTGTTTATACTTTTTTAACTTTCTTTTGTTGTAAATATTGTATACTTTTTGTGATTCAAGTTATGTAGCCTATATGCTCTGTAAGGTGATGATTTGTATATATAAAAATGGCCCAGTAATATTATATAGTTTCCCATTTAAAAGGTTATTGAGTAACCTTTGCATTAGTTTAAACACTACCAGAAATAAAGCTGAGCCAACTATAAACACTCAATTTTTGTATGTTTTCCAAATTGTACTTATTAATGCTTTTGATACTGTATTATGTGCCAATAGTTTCCCAATCACATAGCAGGCAAAAGATATTTTGTACTTTTTGATCCACTGTAATATTTAATAAAAAATGTTACTATCTGTTCCCTTTTGTGTTTGATTAATAATTCTGTAAACAGCCCTTATCACATTGGATTACATATTATCCCATCCGACCTTTCAGCCCTCTTATATTGGCTTTTCTAGAGAAAGTATCTCCTCCTGCAAATGATTAGATTAAAGAAATGGAAGTTTGCAATTTCCTCAAGGAGGGAGAGACAAGATCTTCAGTCAGTGCTCCACTATTTTTGCAGTGTACTTGCTTTAGTGTGGCTATGATCATGCTGACTATAGGAATAGCTTTTGAGAGGTTAACTTCCATGCTTAGCCAATGGCTCCAGTAGCAAATTTGCTCCATTTGCATCTCAGAGTAGAATGTTTTTCTGCCAGTACTGCAGGCTCGAGCTGGGATCTGAAAATTGCCCCCTCTTCTTCCCAGCTCAAACATGGGTAAGGTTCTGGAATCTTGGAGTCAGATGCTAACTACTAATTTTGCTGATGATGCTGAACAACCCTCAAGCAAAGGTAATTTTTACTGTGTTCCTTGGTGGGTCTGAAAAGCCCCCCATAAATCTAGGGCCCCTTTTAGAGCCCATAAGCACAGCAAGTGCTGTTAAATTCCTGGTCTCCATAGGTGGGAAAATCCTTTGGCTGTGTGTAGGTCAGGCCTGGGTACTACCCTTGTCCAGCACAGCTCGGCAGCAGCACAGGAATGCCCAGTAGCGACCTGCTAATTCCACATTGTTTCTTAGCTCCATGGTTCTGGCGCCGTGGAACAGGGAGATTTCCCTCTCCCATCCCTGGGCAGTCCAGGAGCTGAGGCCATGGCTGATCCTGGAGGCTGGAACTGCTTTGTGTGTTCTCCCTGCACTGGGTGCGTGGCCAGGCAAGCACAGACCAGTTTCACCAGCTTCCAAATACATACTGCAGTCTCAAAAACAACCATTTCCTCCTCTGTGTGCTGGGAAATACCAGCTTGAGGAGGAGAGCCAGCCACTGGGCATGTGTAAAGGATGCAGCACTGTTGAATCATAGAATCATAGAATATGCTGAGTTGGAAGGGACCCATCAGTATCTTTGAGTCCAGCTCCTAGCCCTGTGCAGGGCACTCCAGGAGTCACAACCTGTGCCTGTCAGTGTTGTCCAAACACTTCTTGAGCTCAGGCTTGGTGCTGTTACCAGCACTGTATGTGAAGTCATGGGAGAAGATGAGGCCTTCTAGCAAACCTTTTCCCCTAATCCACTTCTATCTTTGCCAAGCTGAGGCATTTTTTTCTTTTTATGTTGAAAATGCAGCCAACTGGTGCAAGAGGGGGAGGAAATGTGGACATGTAGAAGCTGGCCCTTGCAGGAGATGCAGAGATGGCCGAGGCAACTTGGTTTCCAGCACCATGCTTTGCTTCCTTGTGGTTTTTTTAGCCCTTCCTAGTTTGTGGATTAATGTAAGCCATCACAGCCTGTTTTTCCAGTGCTGGGGGTGCCTGTTGGGCTGCTTTACCCACTCCTCAGAGTGTGGCTGGGAAGAAGACCCCAGGAGCAGCACCCTGGAGCTTTTCATAGCCAGACCAGCCTGGCCTGTGAGTGGCACTGAGGCACAGCATCCTCCCTTGGCTGGGCTGGGCACTTCCCAGTGAGTTTGCTGGAGGTCACTTGGGGGTCAGAGCACCCACACCTGGGCAAGCAGCAGAGCAAAGTAGTCTGTGTTGACAGCACCCAAAGCATTTGCAGGGAAACGGGCACCTCTGCAGCACATAGTGCACCCCACCAGTGGCAGGTGGGGTCTGCAGGAGCAGAGCTCCACCCAGGAAGAATTTGTCCCCCTGTTAGGGACTCCAAAGTGCTTCTGTGTTTGAGAGTGAAATGTCCAGTGATCTGAGAGAGGACAAGGGATGCTGTACCCCTGGCTTGCTGCAGACAAAGAATTTGTCACCTTGTCACACCAGTTTTTCAATTCAGCTGCCAGCAGCAGGGAATTAACAGTTTTGAGGGTCTGAAGAAAAGTGGAGATGCACAGTCTGGTGTTGATGGCTGCAGTTTACTTCCCCTGGCTGATGGCTCTTGGTCCTCTGCTTTGCTGCTTCGCTTTTCCACAGTTACATGGCAGTACCCTGTGCCGGGCTTCTTTCAG